GGTGGGCTTTTAATCCAAAATAATCCTTAAGATTGACATAATTCCTCACTTTGGTCTCTGAATTTTACCATTAGATTGTTCGCCGTCAATTATTTTTAGTCTTTATGTGAGAAATCTCCATTAAATTAAGACCAAAACTTTTTACAAAAAAGACTAAAATGATTGATAGTGGACGATCTCAAAACTATTGATTTTATATCTCAAGAAATAATAAGAGTTACGAAAATATCAGTACCCTTCGGCTCCACAGAAACAGAGAAACTCATCTTTCACATTTAAAACGCACAACCACCACCACCACCACATTGGATTCAATTGTCAGTTTGTCAAATTGTCAGTGCTTTTGGAGAGATTTGTTGGAGAGATGAAAATGACAGTGAGTTTGTGGAGAGATTTGTTGGGTAAGGTCTCATGTATTTTTCTGGGATTTGTCTCACACTTTTTGTACATCATTCTCAAGGGAAATAAATAGAGATTTTCGATAGTTTGGCGGAAGTGCTTCTCATGGTAATGATCTCCAAATGTAAATGCATAAACAACACAAGATTTAAAGTGGTTAGCCAAATCGACTACATCCACTGGGTTTACTTTCATTGTATTTCACTATATATGAGAAACTTACAAATACAGTAAAAGATGGCTTAAAGCCCTAAGTACATGTAAAAGAAAGATAAGGAGGTAATATGAAAGGGAGAATGGCTTTCTTTTTTTAGTTGCTCTTTTTCTTTTCTTTTCTTCTTCTTCTCTCTTTTCTCCATTGTCTTCCGTTGGTTCTTGCTCCTTCCTTTATAAAGATTGCATGACATCTTCCTCTCCAAAGAATCTCCACAAGTGTGCCAATAGAAAGAAAGCAAGTGATGTGCCAATCATTAGACATAAAATGTGTTCCAATAGAAACACACCAATTGTTAACCTAATCATCACCATGAAATGTGTTCCAATAACAAGGCAATAAATGTTGTCCTAACCCTTAGTAATGAAATGTGATCCAATAGAAAAACAACAAATGAGAAGCTAATTATGAACTAATGAATAATATGCAAGATGATCCTTGCATCAAAGGCCATGGGAAATGTTCTAACCACAATAAGTTGTCATCTTCCTTTATTTAGAGTGGTGAATATCATGCAAAGTGGACAAAAACTCAAAAGCCACGTTCAAAGTCTAAGGGATATGAATCCCACCTCTTCAAATTTTGGAGGGATGAATCATCACCAAACATTTAACTCTTAGATTCCTAATGAATACAAACTTGCCAACTCACCCTTAAATAGACTTCCACCTTCACATTTAGAGTGGTGAGTAATCACCAAATCATTAACTCCTAATGTTACAAACTCTCCACCTCATCTTTGAGAGAAAATATCAAGACAAAATTACTCATTTAATCCAATCTCAAACTCTCGGCCCTTTGTGGGAAAAATTAAACCAAACTCATTTAATCTCCCTTCTCCAATTCAAACTAAAAATATCTCTAATTACATATGAACATTAAATAGCTAGTTTTTAAAATAATTTGTAGCAAAAAAAAAGATTTTACATTGAAACTATTTTACATATCAAAAGTAGGTTCTTGCATAAAATAAATCTAATAAAATCATTACGTAAAAATAATTACCCACACACACACACACACATATATAACCATTTTTTTTTAAATACGGGGTATTACAACCTCACACTTTGTTGAATGCACCTCACATATTGTTTTGTTATTAAATAATGTCTTTTTAGCCAAAATGGTCTATGAGATTTAAAATCAATATAATTGGTTTCTGAGTTTGTCCACCATCAATCATTTTGGTCATTATGTAAAAATCTCCATTAAATAAGAATAAAATTACCAAAATACTCTTACTTTTTGTCAAATCATTCTGGCCCATTATTTATTAAATTGAGGTTATATTTGTTATTTTGGCCCTTATTTAACATAATTTTGCACGGAATGACTAAAATGATTTTGTTATCTGAGGGACCAAAGTGATTTATTATGCAAATCTTATGGACCATTTTGGCTGAAAAATCTTAAATAATTTATACAATTTAATATAAAATGACTATTTAGACCCCATAAATTTTATAATAAAAATTATTTTATGAATACACCCCAAATCATGTTCAATTTGTATCCTATTTTTCACCATGCTCTGCTTTTTGGTTGTCTAGTCAATGGCATTGTTGATTCCATGAAAAAGGCAATAGCCAAATCTGCCTTTTTATTTATGAACACATTTTTCCAAATAACATGTAAGTGATGTTGGCATGGTTGATTCATCAGTGATCAATTCAATCCTAAACCCCTGGAACCCCAAAATTGATGGACCTAAACCCTAAAATTGACAGAAATCAAAACGAGTAGAAAAATCTAAGAATTATTATTTAGGCCAGTCATTTGATATTATTTTAAAAATGGGAGGAAATTTTCGTTTCTCTTGCGGTATGTTGTTTCACATGTTTTCAATTATTAATGACACATTTATGATTATTCATCGATATTTTTTTGTATTTATTTGATGATTGATCACATAAATCTCGCATTTGTGAAATATCTCATTTGATTTGTCATGTATGTTCATGTTTTCTGCATTTGATATCCGTGGGAGTAAACAACATTCATGTTAGATGTTTAATATTCACGACCAAAACCAGTTGTCGTCCTTTGCTTCTTCTTATTTGACGTGGGGGTGTATGTAAAGAGTGCAAGGTATATGTAGAAAGTGTGAGGTACAAGGGCAATATGAGAATGTATGTCGGGTGTATTAAGTTAAATTTTAATTGGAAATGTATAAATAGAGTGTATTCAGTATGTGAAGTGTATTCAATAATATGTGATGTGTGAATAAAGCAACCCAATTTAAAAAGCAATACAACAATTCCTCCATCTTCTTAGAAATTGATAAGTTTGTCAAAATGATAGGTTTCCAAATCTTAACTCCCAATCAGTTTTCAATATGTCGTCAATATTTAATTTTTATGTTGTTAACATAAATTAATTTGTAATCAACATTTACTTTTGATCAGTTCTACAATTATAATTTAATTTCTAATTATTTTAATCAATTTTCGAAAAAAAATAAAAATCTATGGAAAAGGGTAATTCCCAATTTTGTTGACAAATTCATTGGTGGGCTTTTTATCCAAAATTGTCACAGCCCGTCCTAGAATATTATATTTTTAGGCGTAAAATGTCAATTATGCCTTTGAGCGTTTGTGGTGTTGTGTGGTTTACATTTTTTGGATTTGGATCAATTCATTAAGTCCCTAGTATTTTAGAACCAATTACAACTAAAAAGGACTTAGTTTGTTTGGTTTGTGACCAACTAGGATCACACACACACACAAACACCTATACCCTGTTTCTTTCTCTCCCGTTGACTCCCTTCCTCTCGAATTTTCAGTTTTTCCGTACAAGCTGTACGGACAACCTTGAAACTTCACTTCCCGTGACGGATCAAGCTCGTAGTCATCATCATCACCTTCATCTCATCGTCACGAACCCGTTTATACCATTTTTGGTAAGTGAAACCCTCGAAAACCCGAGAACTCATAATCTCAGTTTTGATGCAATGTTCATGTGGTCGTAATTATGGATGTTTCAGGTGATTTGAAGCTTGTAAAAAGCTTTAAAACATCCTTATGAAGTTCGGAGAAGAAAAACCAAGTAAATTGGACATCGGGAACTTGAGATTGGCGAATTTTAAGTTTAGCTGGATTATCGTGGATTTTTCCGACGAGATCCCGTGAACTTTAGGTCCTAAAACTGGTAAGGATTTGTTCTACTTGTCTTAAGCTTCATTTTGGTATATAATTCGTGAAATTTGGTTGAAAAATGAAGAAGATATAAGGATTTTAAGTTTTCCCAGTTTTCGGTGATGGCGACGGTCGTCGGAGTTCGAAGGTAGGGGATGATGGAATATTCCGTCAACTTCGATGGAATATTCCTAATGGCGTTGGTTATTTTTAATGGTTTCTGTTACTTTTAACGAAATATTCCTAACGGGGTTAGGGGATTCCATTAGGGTCCCTACGGGTGGCCGAGAGTGTTGCCATGTCCTTGCCGACGCGTGGCCGCGCGTGGGCTCAGGTAAGCCCATGTGAGTTTATGAATTGTGAATGTGAATAACGGTTGTGATTAATTGAGAAGTATAGAACTCATAAACATGCACCCCGGTGTTAGTGATTAGTCAGAGATGTGGCATAGGCCTGTACATAATGTCACCTCCCGCACCCTATGTTCACATTGGATCCAATTTAGGTGCATAGTCTTGTTGTACAAACCATTATAGATGGTTCCGACTCGTAAGTGACTAGCGATTTATCGCACAGCTATCACGAGAGCATAAGTATATTACACCCAGTCTTGTCGTACGTACCCTTTCAGTGGTTCCGACTCGTGTGCAGTGTAGTGCTGTATTGGTCACTTGTATTAACTCTGGCTAGATTGACTAATGAGCTATGAATTCAGCCATACAGACTTCTACAGGGGTTCCGGTTAATGTGTTATTTTCCATGAATTTATTTTCACCTGAGTTATTTATTCTGTTTATATCTTGGCATGACATACTCATGATTATGAATATGTGAAGCATGATTTGAATTGATATATATATGTATGTATATATTTATATTCTATTTCTGGGAAAAAATTATACATGTTTTACGGCGAGGGGTTAGAGCACTTGATAAATGAAATGATTTTGAAAAGCTTTGTTTTTGCCCACTTACATTTTCTATTTTGCGCCCCTCTAGGTTTTAGGTAGACTTGCTATTGGTGGCATTGAGGATCTCGGCGGTTCTGACAAAATAAAATATTCGTAGGATATTTTTAGGTGAGAAATCTCCGTTAAATTAAGACCAAAATTTTGTACAAAAAAAAATAAAATGATTGATAGTGGACAATAAAAAAACTATTGATTTTATATCTCAAGAACTAAAATAAGGGTTGCGAAAATATCAGTACCCATAGCCGTCGTTGGTGACTCCACTCCACGTAAACGGATAACTCATCTTTCACATTTAAAACGCACCACCACCTACCACCCACCACCACCACCGCATTCGATTCGATTGTCAGTTTGTCAAATTGTCAATTTGTCACAGTGACAGTATTGTCCTGTCGCTCCACTCTGAATTTGCTGCAGCTGTTATTATTAAGCACGCACGTGCGACTTCAAATCTTCTGCGATTATCTTCATTTGATAAGATAGATAGTAGAGCAGAAACTTGAAGCTTGAGGGGACAGGCGGCGATTTTCCAATGGAGTCCACATTGTCCGCAGCGACGCCGACAACGGCAGCTCTCCTCGCCGTCTCCAAATCCCTCAACCGCCGACTGGAAAGGAGGACCTTTCTCAGTCAACGCCTCCCGAGTCGTCTTCTTGCTCGCAGGCACCTCACTTCGGTTCACACCAGCTACTACGGCTTTCAGGCCCCCAAACCTGATCCTTTCTCTTCCTCTTCTCTGAGAAGTGTCTGCGTCGCTGGCCCGCTTTTACGGCGCCGTTTAGAGTGCGTCGGTAGCTCCGCTTCTTCTTTTGCCTCCGGCGGTGGAAATGGTGGCTTTGGCGGAGAGAGTGGCGGCAGCGGCGGTGACGGCGAGGGAGGTTCTGGCGGCGGCGATGCCAAGTCCAAGGTTGCTGCTACTGGAGGCTATGAGGTTTCGGCGCTCTCCACTGATGTCATTGTTCTCGATGTTGGAGTACGAATACACTGATACGGAAACTCCTTTCTCTCTCTCTTCTCTCTCTCTCTCTCTCTCTCTCTCTCTCTCTCCCTCCTCAGTCTGATTGATTGGTGATTTGCTTGGACAGGGAATGACATGTGGAGGATGTGCAGCCAGTGTGAAGCGAATTCTAGAAAATCAAGTAAGTTTAATTTCACTTTCTACCTCAAATTTACATGTATTTCGTTTGCTATCAAAGTTTCAAGTAAGTTTAATACCACCTATATATATGTGTGTATGTATATATGGCAGCCACAGGTATCGTCTGCGACTGTAAACCTCACAACTGAGACGGCAATTGTGTGGCCTGTGTCCGAAGCGAAGGCTACACCAAACTGGCAAAAGCAGTTAGGAGAGACACTTGCAAACCAATTGACCAGTTGCGGTTTCAAGTCTAACCTTCGCGGTAAGCATTTCACAATTGTTTCGCATTCAGCCTGTTACTTTTATTTATCGTTCTTATTAAAGTATGAATTCCATGGTTCTCAGTTAATGGAAAGTTGTATGTTTGGTTAATCCTTGTAATGGCTAGTCTTTTTAACTTTTCAAGGGCATTGCTTGTTCTTTGCTGTTTTTTCGGGATCACATTTGAAACTTGGTAATCAATGTTCATATTGATTTGGGACCTAAAGTTTGTTGATTATTTTCTTCGAGTGTGTTTTCGGTGTTACTTATACACGTATTAGGAAAAGTGTAATGAAACTGTTTCCTTAGAGTCCGTTTAGATTAACATTGCAAGAATCAGTGACAACTTAAACTTTTTCAGTTATTGAAAAACACCGAAGTGCTAATTTTTAATGCTAGACGTTCTTGAAATTCTTGATATATTAACATGATGTTGATTAAGATTAACTTATATTGGCAGACATTCAGTGGTGATTGTTCTGATGTTGGCTTTCAGAGTTTTTTTAGCACATTAGTTGATTGCGTTGGTATGAGGATATAGGCTGACATCATTAGATTTGTGGAGTTGCAAAATTAGGCCAGATAGGAAGCGGAAACTGGATTCATCAGGGGTCCTCTTTTAAGAAATTTTAAATTTTCTGTTGAGGAAGTAACAAGCAATCAATTCCTCAGTTCCAGTCTGCTGCTTAAGTGATTTGGAAATCGAATGGTCCTACCAAGGTTCATATTTTGGCTTGGATCATAGTTCATGGAAGCGAAAATACTTATGCTTTGGTACAAAGTAAATCACCATTTTGCCTGTCTCCTCGTTGGTGTATTTTGTGCAACAAGGAGGAAGTATTTGAAAATCATTTGTTTCCACATTGTCCATATGCATTGAGACCGGTGACGGTTAGTTAGGGTGGGGAAGCAAGAGTCCATTGGGTTATTCCTCATTCACCTTCAAATATTTTTTTGTGAAAAGAGTATGTTTTGGTGGTGGAAAAAAGCAAGAATTTTGTGGAGTTGCACTTTGTTAGCTGTCTTTTGGGTAATTTGGTTGGCGAGAAACAGAAAAATCTTTGAGAACTATAGTGGGGATGTAAGAGAAAACTCTTCAGTCAGGTTCTGAGCATCATTTTTGGCTTCTGTTTCTCCAGCTTTTAGTGATCTATCATTTTCTTTAGTTTTATTAGATTGGGTAATTGCTGTAGGGTAGATTTTCAAGTTGTAATGCAATGTGAGAGAGTACTTTAGTTTGTTTTGAGGATTGTATCAGTTTGTTGGTGGACCTGTGGTCCACTATGTTCTTTTATTATGCTTTAGTTCTTTAATGAAATTTTGGTTCTCAAAGAGAAAAGGTTGCAAAAAGAAAAAACAAAGTCAGACAAAAGAGCATGAGAACCATCGATCTTGCTTGAAAGGGTTTCTTTTCTATCTCCGTTTGATTTCAAAGCCAGAAAGCTCTTTCTCTTTTCTTGGTACTCAAGCGTGCTCCTTTTACATCTAAAAAATTGTGATGCCGCGGAATTTGCTATATCCTTTTGAGAAGTTGAGGATCAAAGTTCTTTGGGAACTTTGGGTTCTACTGTTGTCATATTATTATAATTGCTTTTGAAGGTTGAAATCGATTCAGCTGCCATCCATCCACAAAACAAGATGGACATAAACTGAGTGGGTTAGGTTTTGTCCTGCTTTGGAAATGATGATAGCACTCATAGCAGTTTACTGGGTCTGCTGAATACAACAGACTATTATCTATTTACTCCTTCGAGTGTTGTTTCTTCCAAGAGAAAACCGTGAACCAGAATAGAAGAGCTTGCCCCACCCATGAGTAAATACTTCGTAGTAGCCTCATTAGACCGTACATCTTTCTTGGTGTATCCAGATAATATTTAATATAATATTTAATAATAATTATAAATTATATTTCTGGTTGTCCAATTAGAACTCCATAGCTTTAAAATAAAAGCATATATATATTCATTATTCGCCTGCTTAGGGTTTCCAAATGATTTATGTGAAGCTTTCTGGGTTTAGTGGCAGGTCAGGGAGCTACGGAAGGAGATATATCACCATAGAAGTGCAAAAGATTTCTTGTCATGCTGAATCATAGTAGTTTTTGGTACGTTCTCTGACTTTTGAATTCAATTTCAGCAGTGTGTATATGCGCATAATGTCTGTTTTATCAGATGTAACAAAAGAGGATTGAAAATCGTTATTGGTTCACGACTACTTGCTTACTTAGGCAGTCTCAACAAGCAGCTCATTGTGGTGGATAAGTTTGCGGAGCACTTCTGCTATGGAGCACCCATTTGTTCCGGAGGATTTTCGATTCCTCTTCTCCTCTCCGAGCTTAGCAATTCCTTAGTTGTCATTAGGACATTGAGGACTCCTGGCTTTCTGTAAGTTGGCTGTATTCCATGCATAAGATATTTGAGAATTGGACTGATTGTTTGCCCATAGGCATAGGGTTGAAAGAGTCTTTCCATGGGGGAATGTTACCTCGATAAATAAGTTTTGAGCAGCAATCCTACTTCACGTGGAAATCAATTATTTATGTTTTATAGCATTGATATATAATATGGAACTTTAACGAAAAGCATCCGGTACTGTTCACTTTAACGAAAAACCACATTTTTACACCTGGTACTATTCACTTTACCCTTTATTTTGTCCTTATCATTAAAACTCAAAGTTTTCAAGTTTTTTTCATTAATTTTCCTTGTATAATATGCATAAAATCGTATATCAAACCAATTGAACAAATGCGAAATTGCTAGCAGGTTGAATTGTTCGATGTATGATAAACACAAATCACGCAAGTAACATTTTGGTAAATAATACATCGTTGTTTAATACATAAGTGGTAGTGAAAGGGAATCAAATAACTTAAAATTTTGAGAAACAAAGCACGAGGTGAGGAAAAACATAGGTTATAGTAAAAACAACGAGAGAATATGCAAGTGATCTTCTACCACAGTAGTGAAGAGAAGTGGTGCCTTTGCACCACAGTGTAAGTTCGAACTCTGTCCACTCCCTAATCTGACATCTAATCTAACAAATCTATTGTTTGGCCAAAAAAAAAAAAAAAACAAGAGAGAGTATCAAAAAAGAAAGCAGGTAATTAATTGATTCAGTTTCCTATAAATTAATGTCTATACAAAGTGATATGAATGAATGGCAATCAATTTGAAGTGGAAGGATGTCGTTATATATCACATTCACATAACTTTGACATCGGAATTACGGCACACTTTCCAGATGCATAACCGCAAATAAGTAACAAAACTTCGGCCATGCGACATCCTCAAACCAGCGGTGCACCAAAATGGCCAGCAATCGAATTCCAGAAGCTCGTGGTCACAAACTGCAGCAACGAACAAGTCCTGAGCCGCATGAAGAACCACTCATAACACCAGCTGCCTGTCACGACTCCGGTGTAAAGGTTAAAATTGGCCTTATTTTGGTAGCAAAATCGGCTTCATACCATATATGTCATCCCAACCTGCATTAGATGCGAATGGGGCACACTCAAATTCGCAGTGCCCCTCCTGCAGTTCTTCCTCAAGAAAGCATAAAAGTAATTGATGATTAACTTCTTGATAAACCATGAATCTTTCCTGGCCCTAATATCCCCGTGACCAAGAAGATAAACAACCCCCGATTCTTTGGCCTTTCGTATAAACGATAGTTCCCTATCCATACTCTGCTCAGAGTCAAAAACTGTTGGATCTTCTGGAAGCACTGGCTTCACCTCTGATGTGCTTGCTTCTGATACAGGCTGCCGGCTCGTCTCCTTGTACTCAGCCAGAAGAGGAACACCAAGTGAGTAAACACTTCCGTTGGGGGCTATAAGAACCCTCGAGACAGAGGTCTCATCTTCTGAGTCTGTATCACCATCATCCCCATCGCTCTCCAGTGACCGCTCCTGAGCTTCCCTACGTATGAATTTCTCAAGGCTCTCAATTAGTAGCTGTTCAAATGTTTGGTGATTTTCTTTACGAACATCCTTATAGCCATACCTGTTGAAGTCACAACAGCAGATATAGAAGGTAACTAGACATGAAGGATGAAAAAGAAAACAAAGGAAAAAACACTTCAACTGCGAACATGAGTGATTTCCGCTTCATTTGTTGTCAGGCCTACGGTAAAATAATACATCTTACTAAGCATAAATATATCCTATGACGGGTTTCACCATTTGGCATCCATGATATACATTATGGATCTAAACTTTGCACTAGATTATACAAAGACATCACTCTACTCTACCAAATCAGAAGTGTTAAGCATGTTACCTGGCAATACAACGAAATATGTGGTAGTTTTTCGGACAGACACGCCGGAAAAGGAACCTTTCACTTTGAGGCACTACAGGAACTGGAACATACTTTATACAAACAAATATGATCATCGAATGGATTGCAGGAAGTGTGGTCAGAAAATGGCCAAAGATTGCTGGTATTCCCTTCACCAGCTCATTGTAAAGCAAACCAATGCCTGGAGCTCTGATTGTCCCAAGATTGCAACCCAATTCTCGCATCAGATCCATTGAAAGTTTTTGCTTGACTTCGGTTTCATACTTAAGCTTGCTTCCATAGTTCCAGATAGACATTATAACAAACATAATTATGGCAAAGACCAAAATAATCCAACTTCCATCTCCCACACTACACAAAACCGATGAGAAAAAGGTCAACTCCAACCCCAGGAAAATGATTAAGAAACTCAGCACGATGATTATGTTTATCTGCCATATAAGAAGCATAACGATTGTTACTAAAATGGTCGTCATCATCATCACTCCTAGCTCAGCAATGCCTGTAGTAAAAGAGGATAGTTATCAAAAAATTAAAAAACCGCATATAAATTGATTTATGTAAAACTAAAGCTCATACACGGAGATACAAGAAGATGTAACTAGTGGTAACTGTTGAAATAATTCATGACAGTGCCTGCATGTTATTTTTCAAGTGGGTAAAGCCAGATCGGTGGTTGATTTAGAGTTGGAACCAAAGAGATATTTGGAATGTCCTGTCAGGTAGATCTAACCTAAGAAAAAAAAGCATTGTAATGAGGTCAAGAACCTATTCACCACATACGAGCACATTTGAGAATTGCTTTTAAATGACTGTAACCGCTTTTAGAGAATATGTTTTTGCGTTCCAAGGGCACTTGAAGTGCTTCCTGCAAGAAGCACCAGACGCTACAAAGGGAAATCATTCCTTGACATTCAGATGTCTAATCCTAGGGCATGTAACAGAAAGAGCAAAGACTCCAAATATCTATTATTATCTTTAATCTAGAGAACTTTAACCACAAATTTTTTATTACAATGCCAATTTGTATATCTTTATGTATGTCGTGATGCTTCACTGCCCAACATTCTGTGCCATAAAGCATTGCCGGCCTATAAAATTTTCCCTTGTTCTTTAGCGGCATACAACGGTCACACAACATGCTGGATGCACTCTTCCACTTCATCCATCTAGCTTGTATTCTGTGGTTGAGGTCTCCAACCAACTCTCCATTCTTTTGCAAAATAGATCCTAGGTAACGAAAAAGCGGTCGCTCTTTGGTACTTCCTGATCTCCAATCCTCACCCCTAACTCATTTGAGACTCTGTTTGCAATGAACTTGTACTCCATATACTTTGTCTTTGACCAACTTAGGCAAAGACCTTTAGATTCCAACACTTCTTTCCAAAGGTTAAGTTTCGCATTTACTCCTTCTTGAGTTTCACCTATCAACACTATATCGTTTGTGAAAAGCATACACGAAGGAATATCATCTTGAATATGTCCCGTTAACTCATCCATTACCAATGCAAAAAAGTAAGGACTTAAAGATGAGCCTTGATGTAACCCTACAGTTATAGGGAAGCTTTCAGTTTGTCCTTCATAAGTTCTTACGACAGTCCTTGCTCCATCATACATATCCTTTATAGCTTGGATATATGCTACTCGTACTCCTTTCTTCTCTAAAATCCTCTAAAGAATGTCTCTTGGGACCCTATCATACGATTTTTCCAAATCTATAAAGACCATGTGCAAATCCTTTTTCATATCTCTATATCTTTCATAACTATCTTATAAAAAAAAAATAGATAAAAACAGAGAGAGGAAACGATATAGTGTTAGAGGAAACTATAAAGTGTTGACATAAAAATGAATAAAAAGGGAGAAAAATTAAATTCTTTAAACTAACAGAATTCCAACAAGGCATTTTGGTGCAACAGATGTTTTGCAGAAACCAAAAGACAATTGATTGATGAAGTTGTCTAGCAAACTGAGAACATTTGGTGAGGGGATCCCAACTTTTTTTACAGAGTTTGGTGAAAAGAATTACGGAAAAGCTTACTTAGTATAGCTACAGGAAACCCAACTATAAAACCTAGAGTTTGTTAACAAACAAATAACAAAACTGAACAGATAACGAGACCATATGCTTTGAAACATGATGAGAATTACCATATGCATTTCCAATCTCATCAATGTTTGAAATAGTGCAGATAGCCACTAGGGAAACAACCAGCAGAAACCAATTTACGACAGGGATATAAATTTGCCCCATGAACTTCCGGGAGGTATGTATGATTTTAAGGCGAGGGAAACAACCAAGTGCCATTGATTGTTTTATGCATGAAAAAGTGGCCGTTGTCATTGCACGACTAGCAATCAATGCTGCAACATTAGCAATGAGCAACACAGGCCAGAAAACACCACCTGCAGACAATGAGAGAGTGATTTCTCCATAATTAAATTTCCATCTATAACATATGCTTGCAAATTGCAAAGGGACTTAAAACGAATTAACGATATATGATATATCTAAGAATTAGTGAAATAAGTATTGACTACTGACACATTCGTAGAAAATCCTAACTGAATAATTTGCTTGAAAATCGATAAATGCACCAGTGAAGCTTACTTGGGATTGAAGAAAAGAAAGCTAGCTCAGCCCCATCTTGGTTCTCCATAAGGTAGGCGGCTTGACCCAAATAACCCAACATAAGGCAGGGCAAAACAAGAAAAACGAATGTAAGCTGAAAAGAACAAATACCCAGTAAATTACAGTTCTAGTAATCAGAAGGTAAACACCACACATTCTGACACTTCGATGTATCATATAAACAAAATGAATATTCAATAAAGACCAATTATTCTTCATTCTTTACCTGGACTGATCGTACAGAAAAATAGCAAAGATCCGCAAACATTGCCTCAGAACCTGATACATACAAGTACATCAGTAAAGAAAAGGAAAATATGTAGGTGATAACCAATAATATAGGTTCCCAGTTCATATAATATCAAACAAAATTGAACCCAATTTACATAAACCTTAACAGTTCTATCAATATTTCACCTCTTGTAAGTGACTCTTAGTATCCCCCTTTGTAATTTCCATAATTCATGATTTAACATTTTCCAATAATACAATACCTAAATTGTGCAACCTCAGGTACACTCTAATCATGTCTTTTTTTTTTTCTTTTTTTTCTTTTTTCTGTTTCTTTTTTTCAGAAGAAAACAGAAAATGCAAGCTAGGGATTAGTTAGCAGTTTCTTTCCATTTTAAAATATTTTGTAAGCACACAATATTTCAATACGAAGGAACAGGACAATACAGAGGACAAGCCTAGCTAGAAGATGCTAGCTAAACAATTGAACAAAGACGGGAAAATACAAATATCCATGGCAGCAGACCAAAAAAAAACACTAGTGTCCAGAAGAATTCAAGTCGTAGGAACTAAACTGTGGATTTCTTTGACTAAAAATGGCATGTGAAAACGATTGTTTCAGAAGATATACTACCTAACTATCAGCTTTACTATATGAATCCAAAGACTTTCTAAGTTCTTCAAGCCTAACTCCAGTACGTGTCTAGCTTCAATTGTGAGGGGAGCAACCTAATCAGCCATATAAACCATGCTGCCACTAATTCCATAAATCCTTTTTTCTATAAACTAAATCCCTTATTATACCTAGGCAATAGTTCAACCCCTTATACATATTTCTGCATAAACTTGTCTTAAAGGACCTTTTTTACTGACTGGATTACATTGCCAGGGAATCAGACATTAAGATATTTTGTATACTTTTCGGAAGAAAAAATTTAACATTATAGAAATTCATTCCAGATGAAATCCATGCACAAGCTAAAAGATGACAATACAACTCAATAAGAAAATGAAAAGTTAATTACAGAAAAGAGTGGAGCCAATTTAAAAATGGAATCAAGGTTGCAAAAATTTACAAAAAAGTAATGATAGCAACTCCCATGCATCCCCAAGGTCTAAGTTTTTTTCCAGACTGATTACCTGTTGCGCATAAAAGACAACCCCCAAGAGAATACCAAGCCTTAGTTGAGTTTCTCTCGAAGAAATAATAGATGTGAACAGGATTGAATGCCTTTAAGACACTGCTGTCATATTTAACAAGGTTGTAAATCCCAATCCCACCAAGGGAACAAAACCATATGAATAAGGCAGGGCCTACAGCCAGTCCAACTTTACTTGTCCCAAATTTCTGTACACTGAATAAAATAACAAGAAAGGTAACCGAAATCATCACCACTTCATCTGCATACAAATAGAAAAGGGAGGTAAATTAAAGTACGCTTTAATTGAAACAGCACAAGCAACTATCATATTTAGAACAAAGAAATAAAACACATATGCAAATGGGTCTTAGTTCACTGCAATGTATAAAAAGTGTGAGGCGTGGGCAAGGCGTCTGAGGGATAGCCCAGTCTAGGTTTGAGGCGTGAGGAGTGAGGCAAAGCCTCACGGGACCTAAATTTTTTTAATATATACACTGAGCGTACACATATATTACATTAAAAAAAAAAAAGATGATTATTAATCAATAATCACCCTAAGCACACACATATTATAAATACATATACACACATATATATACATATATTATATTATATATAAAAAATAGAGGATGAAAAGCACAATGAGCACACATATAACAATACACGCAGACAGCACACACATCCATTATATAAAAAAATAAAAATCAGAAAAAAGGCAGAGAGATGATAGTGCAAGGAAGAGGTATGAGGCAGTTAAAACCCTACCCAAAATTTGGGTTTGGGAGTACAAAAAAAAAAAATCCTCTGAGACGTGCCTAGGTGGCTCTGGGCGGCGCCTTCCGCCGCCTTCCACCCACTCCCTCAAAACAGAGGCGGCAACCCTCAAGCCCAACCTCACAGGGCACCTAGGGGCACCCTAAGGCGAGCCTTTTAAAACATTGGTTCACTGTCATGATTTTGGTTAGAGGAGATGGCTTGCACAATGTGGTGTTGTAGCATAGAACTTTAAATTTTGCAAATGTTCTAGTTCTTAATAAAATTAAAATTGATGGCAGTAGAATTAACTTTTTAGTATGATGCACTCCAACAGAATCATGACAGCTAAGACCCATTTTTGAGACATGGTCCACGGGATAAACAATACCTTGCTCAATTGCCTCTACTCCAACCTTTAGACCACCAACAGCTGATACTACTGCATTAAGAAAATAAAAAGCAATCACAAAGTAAACAAAACATAAAAAGCTTTAGACACACCCACTCTTCACGATTTAAAACAAGAACACTACATCTAAAACAGCTATGCAGCATTACCACATTTCATCACATCAATAATGGGTTGATAGTTGCAACTTGCAACAAGATAAAACAGAATAAGAATAGATGATGCAAATACCTGACATTGCTGGTGTAACAACCCCATCAGCTATCACCATAGCAGTACCAGCAAGCACTAACATCAGAAGAAGCTTTTTCAGAGTCAGTGAAGCCTCAAGCCTTTCCTTGATTTTTAAAGATCTTTCAAGTTCAGGAGATGGCACCTTTAGCCTGAAGCTCGATATCCGGGCATCTGACGGAAGCTGATTGGGAAGAAGACTGACCTTAGCATGTCGACAGATCAATGAATACAAAGCAAATGTACCACCTGGAAAAGTTAAATAACCATGAAATAGAAAATATGCATTCAACTAAACATTTACGTTGTACTGCAATAACTGCATACATAATAGCTTTGTTTGTACTCTATGTGTATGTGTGTGTGTGTGTGTGTGTGTGTGTGTGTGTGTGTGTGAGAGAGAGAGAGAGAGAGAGAGAGAGAGAGAGAATACGACTTGATTTACCGAATCCAGCATACCTTCACCATCATCATTAGCCCAAAGAACCACCAGCACATACTTAAGCAACGGGATCAAGATTAACGTGTATAGGACCAGCGACATTGCTCCAATAACATCCTCATTTCCATTAATAGGTGCTTTGCTAAACATGACACTGAACGTATATAATGGACTTGTTCCAACATCACCAAAGACAACCCCAAGGGTCTGAAAAGCAATTATTATTTTCCTTCCAAGACTGAAATCCTGCAATAAAATATACATTATTAAGGAAACTTGGTTCAGGTCAATAAATAACTTCATATTTCCCATAGGTCAATCGTCATTTCATTTTCTAGTGTAAGTTATTCAAAACAATTTCTCTTAAATTAAGGTCAATAAAACAATCTTCCTCGCAACCAAGGTCAACACCCGTTCCTCTATATCTCTTTATTGACCTCTCCTTATAAAACAAAAATATTGAATGGCTCAATACAAATGTTATAAGTATTTTTTTTTGTCACCTAAAACAAATTACTCCTACATTATTATTAGAAATTCTAATCACAATACGCGTGCACATCAGCATAATTCAACAGTTGAGCCAAAAGAAAATTTCTAAATTATAAAAGAAAAGAATAAAGAAACACAGGCAAAGAAGTTTCAAATTTCATTTCGATGAACCATACCTATGTATAAATTCAAATTAGAAAACCTGAATACTTTCCTTATGAACTATATGGCAGACAATGAACTAAGGCAGACGATATACTTTAAGGAAAACTAATCTATTAATCCATATTTGAGAAAAATGCCACTTTCTCCCGTGGCCATATATAAGGCAAGTTAACTACTTTTGTGAAGAAAATTTTGGAGTTACCATGAGTTGCCTAGGTATAGTTCATTGTGAAAGTTCAACATACTCGTTGGGTTATGATTACAACTTAAGTTTCTGAATATTACCATCGTCAAAACATGAAAATACCAAGTTGCTAAAAACCTAAAACTCAATGTTCTTCGTATATGCACAAAGTAACAGATGATTTAAAAAGTAAATTAAACATAAGAACATAACTGAGGTTTCTTCTTGAAAATCACCGAGTAAAATTTCCTCCTGTCTCTAGTTGCTGCTATTGTAGGTCTTTTCCAATTCTAACTACTCTACTCCAATTAAGTAATGGTCCAAAGGGATTAGAAACATAAATAGTGAGAAAGGCAATCTATATTCAGCACTACATAAAAAATCTGCACATTATTTCCCCACATTATTTCCCAGAACAAAAAATGAAGCACACTATCAGCCTTCCAGCATTGAGAATATAAGAAATTGAGACTTTATTAAGCGAAAGCTCAATGAGTTACAGAAAGAACAGCATAAGAAATGCCCAGTGGTGGAAATGAGGTTCACCACCAACAAAAACAAAAAACAAAAAACTTCGAAAACAAATATACAACTCCTATCTACCAGCAGCAACCCTACCAAAATCAATTGACTGCAGCACCCAATCCAAATGAAAAATGAAGAAATGGAAATCTCTGATACCGTCTCTACCATTGGACACAAGGAAGCCCAAAGCCTCACCCTACCCCATAAAAACTATCACCTCCTCTCCTAGAAGAATACCCAACTCAGCCCCACCTCCGCATGTGCCAGAGTCCAAGAGCTACTGGGCAATAAAGAAATAATATAATCAACATTTTCTAATCCATTATTGCACATAGAAAACTAATCTGGTCTCTTACACTAGAAATACCAAAATTTAATGACCCTATCCACTTATACATCTGTACTTTATTACGTAACTCAGCCGTCCAAAGCAATTGAGATGGTTCAATAAAAGGTACCGTTTTTGGAGAAGAGTGGATTGAGCATGATTACATTGTCATAATTGCTTATCATTTGAAATTTGGAGTTGATGATTTATGACTTGTACTTCCTAATGGTGTATGTGATTGATGAATGAGCATTCTGTTTTATAAAAAAAAAAAGTCATCAATCATCACAAATTCCAAACTTAGAAAGGTAAACGAGTATGCAATTTATGACAATGTAACTTATGTTCACTAAAAGCTGCCATTTTACATTAATGAATTTCCATACTCCTCTCTATAGTCTATACCCACCCACAACATCATGTAACTGCTCTGAAGTTCTGCTTAAAGATTCAAAATAATCCAACCTTAATGTTTACCACAATTGCAACATCCGTATTTACCACAATTACAATATCCGCTACTAATTTACCTTTACAAAGCCACTCATACCATGGTCATGAGCTCTTAGATAACATTCAGAATTTTCTTAATGAAACGGAAAGATCACATAATCCTAAAATTTAGATGAAGCGGAAAAAACACATAATCCTAAAATGTATATGGCATAGATGCTTAGGCAGTTTATTTTATTAGCACCGTATTCTACCAGAAATCAAGCTAGCCAAAGAGCACAAAGTAAAAATTAAACTCCACACTCTGAAAAGTGACAATTTCTTAACGTGGGTAGGAGATGCTAAACATGCCTCCTCAGAGCCTAAGCATCAACATGGTAAGACATTCATTAGAACTAAAATAATTATTAAAAACAGGGTTAATAAAACCAACAAATCCAGCTTCACGTGTACAGTAAATCGCGAATGTAACACGTCTATATACGCACCTGATAATTGTCCAATAACTGAATCTCCCAAAACGTAAACTAACTACAAAGCTACATAGGATGTATCATGTATGTATAATGTGTGTATGTAGCACAACATGATAGGAAAGTAAGGTGGCTACAAGCATTGATCTACATCACACTAAGCAATGCTGAACGAGCGAGGCTACTCGACCGAATCCAGAAATGCAAGTCTTAAGCTCATGACAAAGTAAATAGTAAAAGTGAGAGATTGGGAGTTTGAAGCACCTCGTATTCGGTTCTGTGAGCGCCGGGGACCTCGAGCGCTTCGACGTCAAAGGAATCGACGCGAGGGCCAGTGCGAATCAAGCGCTGCTCGGCATTATCGTCCTCCTCTTCATCATCCTCCGAATCGAGAACCGTCCGATGCATCGCATCTTCCTCCGTATCCGCATCCTCGGAGTCGTCCTCGTCCTGAAAGACCCACCGCGACTCGATGGAGTCCATGGACGCCAGTCCGCCATTGATCTCGCCCCTGTCGGGACCTTCCTCCTCCTCCATCGATCAATGACAACAACTGTAGAGTGCGTGTAATTGTGAAGAGGGACTAGGATTGGGGAATGGTGGAGTGGAATTTTGTTGGGGAGGGTGTTTGGATGGGAGGAAAGTGATGGAAAATTGTAGGGTTTGGCATATGTGGAAAATTGGGGAAAATTGGAATGAAATTGTTGGGGGAATTTGGTTATTTTTGACTAAATATGGGGTTCAGCTTCAACATCTCAGATTCTTACGCTACAAGCTTTAAACTGGAGAATGTTAAATTGTGTATTAACATTCTTCGTACTGCTTTGCAGTTGCTGTATGCATGTCCGGTCCAGATTCCAATGTATCCGGCCGGTCCAAACCGGTTAAGGTTTGTTTTCTTTTAGATTCGGGCCGCGTGAGGCCGGTCCAAGGAGCGACGTCCAAACCGGTAACTTTCATCATGAAATTTTTATAAATAATCAATTTCTTTTTTAAATGTTCAAATTTTCATATTATTTCGTTCATATTTCTCACTTGATAACTAGTGAACTTTTACAAAACATAAATTGTTGTAATATATTATGTGGATGGCCCACATGAATGATTTGTTACTATTCATCCAAAGAAAAATAAGATGAATTACTATTCATACATAGTATTTTCATTATTCATTTTAGAAAAGTTTGTAAAGTGAATAATGTTATGTTGTGGTCTATTTTATCTGACAGAGGGAGTAGGGCCGGCGGCAGAGAGAGAGAGGAGAGAGATGTGTGTTTGTAGAATTGTAGGGGAATGTGTGTGTTGTTATCCCTCCTACATTGTGCCTTTATTTATAGTAGTAAAGGGAGAGAAGATATTCCTTCTCCTCCAAGTAATACAAGTTGTAATAGGAAAGGATAACTAGAATCAAATCTTATCTAGGATTTACACAATCATACTTAAACTAGGAATGTTTACAACACTCCCCCTTGAGTGGGTAAATACTCAAGGTAGATTCAGCATCATGCAGAAGTTGAGGAAGTCGACTTGTCGGCATTGATTCCAAGGAACAACGCTTATTCTCAATAAGGTAGGAACTTGCATAAGTAGTAAGTCTCACTAAAAAACCCTAAGGCTATGGAAAAAACCCAAGTAGGGACAAAATCCATAGTCTAAGGAAAAATGCGTGAGAAATGCAAAGTCAAAAGAAACGTCTACAGGACGTCATCAGGGATATGATCAGCCCAAGGTGGGTGCCTCGTTAAAACCTAGTTAGGTAGCAAAAACCTAGTGGGAAAAATGCTCCTAATCGTAGGGAAAAAGAGTACATTAAGATCAAGCAAGTATCCAGAAGATACTCCCCCTGAGTTTGACATAATTCCAAAGAGAAATAGCAAAGTTACAACTCAGAAAGTTTACGCATACCAATTCCATGAACAAGCTTCTGAAACGTCGCCTTCGGTAGTGATTTGGTGAAGAGGTCGGCCAGATTGTCTTGTGATCGGATTTGCGTGACTTCAATCTTCTGATGCTCTTGTTGTTGATGTGTAAAGAAGAACTTCGGCGCAATATGCTTGGTGTTGTCTCCTTTGATGTAACCCTTCTTGAGCTATTCGATGCAAGCTGCGTTGTCTTCAAAAATCGTCGTCGGGGCATTAACGGCGGGATGAAGATCACAGGAGCTTCGAATATGGCGCACTACTGCTCTCAACCAAAAGCATTCCCGAGTTGCTTCATGTAAGGCGAGAATTTCAGCATGGTTAGACGAAGTGGCAACTAAGGTCTGTTTAGTTGACCTCCAAGATATTGCGGTGCCTCCAACGGTAAAGACATAACCCGTTTGAGAACGCGCCTTATGCGGATCAGATAAGTATCCAGCGTCGGCATAACCAACAAGGCGAGAATCAACCCAATGAGCATAGGGTGCGGCATCACTCGAGGATTCGTAGGGATAGAATAAGCCCAAATCCGTAGTACCCTTAAGGTAACGGAAGATGTCTTTCACGCCAGTCCAATGTCTGCGTGTTGGTGCATTGCTGTATCTTGCCAAAAGAGATTAACAGCGAAGGAGATGTCGGGTCTAGTGCATTGAGCTAAGTACAATAAAGCGCCTATCGCACTTAGATAAGGAACTTCAGGCTCCAAAATCTCTTCATCATCCTCCTTCGGACGGAAGGGATCTCGCTTTGCATCTAGCGTACGAACGACCATAGGAGTACTCGAAGGCTTCGCTTTATCCTCATTAAAACGGCGCAACACCTTCTGGGTGTAGTTCGATTGATGTACTAGGATTCCATCCGAACAATGCTCTATCTCGAGACCGAGACAGTATCGAGTCTTACCTAGATCTTTCATCTCAAATTCCGACTTCAGGTGCGAAGCAGTTCTCGCGAGCTCTTCAGGAGTTCCGATGAGATTCATGTCATCGACATATACTGCAACAATCGCAAATCCGGAATGTGACTTCTTAATGAACACACAAGGGCATAGTTCGTTATTCACATATCCCTGACTAGTCAAATACTCACTTAAACGGTTATACCACATTCTTCCGGATTGTTTCAAACCGTATAGTGAACGCCTCAGCCGAATTGAGAGCGTGTTCCGGGGTTTGGAAATATTTGAACCAGTCAATGTAAGTCCTTCGGGAACTTTCATATAAATTTCCGTATCAAGATCCCCATAGAGATACGCGGTTACTACGTCCATCAGCTGCATATCCAGTTTTTCGGAAACTACCAAACTGATAAGGTATCGAAAAGTAATCACATCCATAACGGGTGAGTAAGTTTCGTCATAGTCAATCCCGGGGCGTTGTGAGAAACCTTGTGCTACAAGACGAGCTTTGTAACGCACAATTTCGTTCTTCTCATTACGCTTCCGAACGAAAACCCACTTGTAGCCAACGGGCTTCACATGTGGAGGAGCAGGAACTACAGGTCCAAACACCTTACGTTTCGCAAGTGAATCAAGTTCGACTTGGATTGCTTGTTTCCAGTTTGACCAATCAGCTCTACGTCGACATTCATCAACGGAACGCGGTTCAATGTCATCGCTCAACATGATCTCAGTAGCTACTGCAAATGCTAATGCATCGTCGACAATCATCTCATTTCTACGCCACACATCATCTAAGCTAGCATAATAGACCAAAATCTCACGATTCTCGGGAAGAGGATTCGTCTCTTCAAGGACGCTTCCATAATCTAGAATTTCCTCATGAGTTGGGTAAAATGAGTAAGCGATAGTCGGATTCACGGTAGGCTCTTCAGGACCTTGTGCCGTGGTTTTCCTCTTCCGGGGGTGTGAATCCTTTGAACCAAGGGGTCTGCCACGCTTTTGTGTAGGGGCAGATGATTGGCTAGCCGCTAATGTACGTGGATCACCAGAATTGGCGTCCCGGGCTTCCAGGAGGGTAGTCCGTCGTACATTTGGTACATCCATCTTTGCAGGCGTATTCGCAGCTGGAATATGTGATCTTGTCACGCGCGCTAGATCGGTGAAAGCATCTGGCATGCTCTGAGCTATGCTTTGGAGATCTAATATGCGCTGCACTTCAGCTTCAGACTGAGCGGTGCGGGGATCTAAATGAGACAAAGTGGGAGTCGTCCACGATAATTCGCGTCGTTCATTAGGAACGTTGACGTTCTTATCTCCCCCTAACGACGGGAAGACTGTCTCATAGAAGTGACAATCCGCGAAACGAGCGGTAAACAGATCGCCTGTCAAGGTTCTAAGTAACGAATAATCGAAGGAGAATCATATCCGACATATATTCCCATCCTTCGTTGAGGCCCCATTTTTGTACGTAAGGGCGGCGAGATCGGCATATAGACCGCACAACCAAAAACGCGCAGATGCGATATGTCGGGTTTGCATCCGGTGACCAACTGAAGGGCACTAAATGGTTGTGTCGCAACAGGCCTCAGGCGGACCAATTTTGCTGCGTGCAATATTGCATGGCCCCAAGCAGCGATCGGGAGCTTGGTACGTATGACCAACGATCGAGCAATCATTTGTAAATGCTTAATGAAAGCCTCTGCCAGGCCGTTCTGGGTGTGAACATGGGGTACAGGATGTTCAACTTCAACCCCAACCGACATGCAATAGTCATCAAAAGTTTTAGATGTGAATTCTCCAGCATTATCCAATCGAATAGATTTGATCGGATAATCAGGGTGGTGAGCCCTGAGCTTGATAACCTGAGCCAACAGTTTGGAGAATGCAGCGTTCCTTGTGGACAACAAGCACACGTGTGACCAACGTGTAGAAGCGTCAACCAAAACCATAAAATATCTAAATGGTCCGCAGGGAGGTTGAATCGGTCCACAAATGTCCCCCTGAATCCGTTGTAGAAAAATGGGAGGATTCGAACGAATCTTGTCATAAGAAGGCTTAGTAATAAGCTTTCCCATAGAACATGTTTGGCATGCAATTTCATGGATCGAACCTAAGCTTCGGGTTAGTGGATGCCCGTGTGAAGTTTTGAGGATACGGCGCATCGCTATTCGTCCAGGATGTCCCAAACGATCATGCCAAAGTGTAATTTCGTGCGCGGGTCCCTGTGGTAGGGCCGGCCACATAGTGGCATTCTATGGGGCGTATGGTCGTAGTATACAGACCACTCGGGTTACGCTCCATCTTCTCTAGAATACGCTTCTGGCCATATTCGTAGGAAGTTACGCACAGAAATTCAACTCCGTTTTCTACGTGGGTTTCAGCGTGGTAATTGTTATCTCTAATGTCCTTGAAACTTAGTAACGTTCTTCCGGAACGTGGAGAATAGAGTGCCTCAGCAATGGTCAAGATTGTACCATTGGACAACATTATACGTGCCTTACCGTATCCTTCGATCAGGTTGGATGGGCCTGAGAGGGTTGTCAGAGGTGCATTCTTAGGTACGAAGTTAGTGAAATAGATGCGTTCACGCAAAACAGTATGCGTGGTTGCACTATCTGCCAGACAACTAACTTTCCCACTAGTCATACCTAGAATGAAAAATTAATTTGAATCGGTCACATGCATAAAAGTTTATAAAAACAAGTATCAATTCAAAATAATTTCATTTATTCAAGGAAAAAAACTTAATATCCAAAATAAATCGCCAACTAATAATCCAAAACATAAAGGAAAATTGTTCAAAATCAACCAAAAAACAAGGGTGGGTTCGGCCACAAGGTGGAATTCGGCCCCAATTGTCTTATTTTAACTGAAAAATAAGTCTATGTCTAAGATTCTAATCTTCCATAGGAGTGGTATCCTCCTGAAAATCAGAAACCTCCATCTTTGTAGTCTCCGGTTCGTCCACTTGCAGGAAGTTTGATTCAAACTTCGTACGACGAGAATGATATGCATCCACAACCTTCTTGGGAGCACGGCAAATACGGGACCAATGGTCCTTGGAACCACAACGATAGCACATATCGTCATTTATTGTGGCAGGTGCTTTGCCCTTATTCTTGAAGTTCGGGGCCTTGGGAGCGAGGTTTGGGCGTTTCTGGGCTTTGTTTCCTCCATTGGATGGGCCTTGGCTCTGTTGACCTTGGTGGGATGGCTTCTGGCCGCCCTTACCACGCCTCTTTTGGCGTTTTGGGTGCTGATTAGTGCTATAATGTGCTTCAGGCACAGCAGTAGCCCCAGTAGGTCGAGCTTGATGATTCTTCATCAACAGCTGGTTCTGCTTTTCAGCAAGAAGTAAAACAGAGATCAAATCCGAGAACTTAGTGAACTTCTGAGCTCTATATTGTTGCTGCAGGACAATATTAGAAGCAGAGAAGGTCGAGTAGGTCTTCTCCAGGAGATCTTCTTCAGTCAAAGTTTCATTGCAAAACTTGAGAAGTGATCGGATTCGACAAACTTCAGAATTATATTCATTCACAGACTTAAAGTCTTGGAAGCGCAAGTGCTGCCAGTCGTGTCTTGCTTCAGGCAAGAATATGTCCTTTTGGTGATCGAAACGATCAGCCAAAGCGACCCATAATGCACGTGGATCCTCCTCAGCAAGGTACTCAGTTTGTAGAGCGTCATGGATATGTCTTCGGATGAAGATCATAGCAGTGGCTTTTTCAGCCTCGCCAACATGTTTATCTGTTGCTTCTTCAATAGCAGGACGCAAGTTCTTTGCAGTGAGGTGGAGCTTCACATCTTGAACCCACTTGAGGTAGTTCCTTCCAGAAACCTCCAAAGCGGTGAAGTCGAGTTTGTTCAAATTCGACATGTTCCTATCACAAAATGGATGAACAAGATGTGGTTAGTGTAATGGAGAAAAATCAATCCATTCACATAGGAGTAGAACATACAGGTTCTAATAGACATGTATTGGTTTAATTTTGCATGAAAAACTTCGGGTTTTCATGGGTGATATATTTAAGTGAAAACTTCGGGTTTTCAAACAAGGCATGTGTATAAGAAACTTCGGGTTTCAAAGTAATTATGAACTTCAGGTTCATATATTCCTGCAGGCAAACACAAATATATATGCAAACAAATATGCAAAGAATATATGCAGAAATATTGTATAATGATAAGTGAATTAATTTTTTTTTTTTTTTTTTTTTTTTGGTCTTCGGGGCCAAATTAAAATGTGGGTGAAAATATAAAAAAACCCATATTATTTAAAAAAAATTAAATAATAAAATCTCGGGGCCTAAAAATATAGGCCAAGAACCCTCGGGTGGGATTACAGGCCCACGGGGTGAGAAGAGGGGAATGGGCTGCTGTGTGCAGCCCTAAAAAAAAATTTTTCGTTTTTTTTTTTTTTTTTTTTTTTTTTTTTGTATTCATTTATATTATATGCATGTATAATTTTAATGAATCACATATTTACGTTGATGCATATGCAAATAATAGTTTCAATGCATGTACATATGTAGGATTCAATTCATGACAAATATCAAATTCACATAATTGTAGCAATTTTGATTATGAAGCATACACAATTTACGTAGAATCTAAAATACGTAAAACGTAAAGTTGGGTCATGCATCATGGTGAATGTTCATGCTATCAGGGCTTGCAAAATATCGAGTTAAAAGCCGTTGTTTGGAAAGAACCTGATTGCGTGATGATATGGATGAACTGGTTTGATTAGGGCTGGGTTCGGTTCTTTTCGGTTCGGTTTTTTGCCAAAACCGAAACCAAACCGAAATTTCGGTTCGGTTCGGTTCGGCCCATATTTTTTTCGGTTTTTTTCGGTTCGGGTTCGGTTTTTTTCGGTTTTTTTTTTTTTTTCCTCCAAAAAATGCAAAACAACCACAACATAAGATAGAAATAGAAAATATGACATGTTTCCATCTCTCTAGGACGGTTTTTCAATATTCATGAGACACAAGCGGTGAGAACAAAGCCAGCGTAGAACATCCTCGGCACGCCAGATGCGTTTGCAATTAGTACCCCAAGTAGCGGTTTCAGCACATACTGCGCGATAAACCCAACAGAGAGTGGTAAAGGTCTGCAACAGATGAGAAGTAAAGAGTATTGGAAGCACACTCAAAACCTCACTGACAGATCAGGATAAATAAATGACAGTAAGAAGAATATATACACAACACTGAACAAAGATATTACCTTTTGAATGCAAGAGCAAAATCATCAATCGAAAGTTTGATTCCAATTGACAGCATGATCCCACCAAGAGCAGGGGCATATAAATCCTTGGATACCCTGTATTAATTTTAAGTTAATACATTGCTAAACTAAATTAACAAAAAATTAGACTCTCATGTGCCTATAAGCAAACACATGCAAGCAGTCCCAGCTCATGAGCTTTAAAATTTTCCTAAACCAAAATCTCTGAAATTAAGAGTTGACTAAAATGAGCCAGGATTAAAGATAATGACTTTAGATTAATCTATACGAAAGGGTATCCACAAATAGTATTAATTTATAAATTTAATCCTTAATTATCCCAGCAAAAACAAAGTATCCATATATAAAATAAGCTAACTTGGACTGGACTTGCTATAAACTAAAAAAAAAAAAAAAACAGAATCCCAGTTGCTAATTCCACAAGAACTCGACATGCGACCATTCAAAACCCAATAAAATTCAAGAAAACCAGAACTGACCAAGTGAACGTTGACGGCTGAGCCAGAGCAGCAATGGCGGTAGCAGCAACGACGAAAGGAAGCATTGCAGATAAGACCTGAGACGACGAGGACTTGGCACGTTGGAAAGAGGAAGAGAGGAAGGAGAGTTGAAGAGAGGAAGAGAGGAAGGAGGGAGAGAGAGACTGAGGAATGAGGGAGAGAGAGCAGCGGATGAGGAAGAGAGAGACTGAGGAAGGAGCGAGAGTGTTTGAGTGACGGCTGCTAGGGTTTGTAAACTTAACAAATTTTATAAAGCATTAGCGATTAGAATACCTATAAATCATATACTGGTACAGATATAGCAACAACAAGCCTACAGTCAAGTTGGCTTGAAGGAATTATCCCCCCTGGACGGAAGGGGTTCGATTCCTCACAGCAGCAGGTTTTAAGTAAATTTAATTTTAAGTTTAAAAGGTTTGTTGATTGCTCAAAAAACCTAAAAAAATTTTCTGAAACCCTGGAGGCATGAGGATTCGAACCCATGCGCAGGGGCTTGAAAAGTTTCAAGCAAACCAACTTGGTAACAGGTTATGTCTTGTTATAATTGTATCACTAAAGTATTTATAATATTGAAAAAAAATTAAATATATATATCTTTTCGGTTCGGTTCGGTTTGGTTCGGTTTCCGAACCTTAAAAACCGAAACCGAACCAACCAGATTCGGTTCGGTTCGGTTTGGCAGTTTCGGTTCGGTTTTTTTCGGCCTCGGTTCGGTTTGGTTTTCGGTTTTTTTCGGTTTTCGGTTATTTGAACCCACCCCTAGGTTTGATGCAGAAAAAATTTCCAACGTCTGATTCCTAAGCGCAGCGGTAGGAGCGTGCTGATAACGTGTTGTGGTCTATTTTATCTGACAGAGGGAGTAGGGCCGGCGGCAGAGAGAGAGAGGAGAGAGATGTGTGTTTGTAGAATTGTAGGGGAATGTGTGTGTTGTTATCCCTCCTACATTGTGCCTTTATTTATAGTAGTAAAGGGAGAGAAGATATTCCTTCTCCTCCAAGTAATACAAGTTGTAATAGGAAAGGATAACTAGAATCAAATCTTATCTAGGATTTACACAATCATACTTAAACTAGGAATGTTTACAACAGATACAGTAATCTTTTGCCTATAAAATGAAAACATAGAGAGGAAAGAAAGAGGGGTGATGAAAGACTCGGCAAAGAAGAGAAACGGAAGGAAGACAGAAGAGAGGAAGAAGAGAGAAGAAAATAGAGAGAGTTATCTTTGTACTCCTATTATTTCATATTATAAATGGAAAACACCCATGCTGCCCCGAGGACGTACTCCAATCACACTGATTGTAGAGGAACCTCGTAAATATTGTGTCTTATTTCATTTATTCCATTGTACACACACCGCCAATTTTACAACATGTTATCAGCATGAGAAGTTCTCGTGTTAGTGGAAAGCACAAAGCCATAAATCCGGAAAAGCACTACATACCTCTCACCACTGTCAGTTGGAATCTCACAGATAAGAAAATCTTTTCATTTCATCTTCAAATCTGTATAGTATTAATTTTCTTGAAGCAACTATGTATTTTGTTATATGACTTCCATTATTTGCATAATAAAAGGTATGTCCATTTTTTCATCTATTTTTCGTCTCCCCCACCGTGCTAGAAGCGTCCCACCGAATTCCGATGAGAATTGAAATTTACAATAACCTGTAGTTGTCATGAGATGAGAAAACTTGTACCTAACATATGGTTTCTAGAGATTCAGAAGAATCTCATCAGACTTGGAAACTCAAATTGCGTCCTTTTTTCTGATCTCGAGGACTTCCATGAATACTTAGTTGTCTGAGATGGTGATGGTAGAACTGACTCCACACAGGCCTTCCTCTCTTGTGCCTGTGTCAACCCTGTTGGCATCTATGTCCCTGCAAGGAGGCTTTTGCTTCACAATGTCGTGTTCTCTAGGCCATGCAAGAACGATGACAGTCTCTGGTAGCCTATTGGATTGAATTAGATTTGTGCGACTCCACAGCAACCCAGCTGGCCCTGGGTTTAAGACTGGTGCTTCAGGCACCATGTGAAAAAAAGTTTGGAAATGTGCGGTTTTGGTTGCACCATAAGAAAAAATAATAATAATGTTGATAGTGGGAAGTTGATAGCACCACCACCATTCTGAAAAGAAGAAAGATAAATAATAAAAAAATGGTCTAATACTTTTGATTTATTTATGTGAATGATGCTGAATTAGAGTCATTGTCACAATCTTTATTTATTTAAAAGCAATTTATTTACAATTGATGGAATTACCGTCTATTGCTTTAATTTATTTATTGTACTTCTTTTTGTTACAATGAGTATAAACAAGACCCGAAGTTCCTTGATCAGATTAGAACCTACAGTTTCTTGATTCACATTATATAAAATGATTGGACCCGTTCTATCATATAAAAAGATCGGGCATGAAGTCCCTTGATCCTCAAGATCAGACATGAAGTTCCTTGATGAGTATCATAATTTTGAAGTGTCGCAGTGCCACAACTTAATTGTAATAAAGGACATAAGAGTCTTAGTCCACAGACTATTAAATAAGGACCAGAAGTTCCTTGAATCATGTAAATGATGATATAATCCATGTATATTTATTAGAGAGTTTACAACTCAAAATTTTGATGATTATTGCATGTCAATGGGCATTGATGTTGAACACCATGTTTCTCATATCCATACTCAAAATGGTTTAGCAGAAGCATTTATTAAGCGGATGAAATTGATTACATGCGCTCTGCTTATGAAAACAAAATTGCCAAGTTTTCTACATGGAGACATGCCATTTTACATGATGCATTAATAGTTCGGTTGAGACCTGTTACCAACCATCAATACTTCTTAGTACAACTCGTATTTAGGCACCAGCCAAACAGTACACATTTGTAAGTTTTTGGTTGTGTTATTTATGTGCCTATTGCATTATCACAACGTACTAAAATGAGGCATCATTGCATATTGGGAATTTATGTTGGTTTTGACTCACCACCTACAAGAATTGATGTCCCTGTTGGACAAAACCAATGTAGCAGCAAATGATTTATCTGTTACACACTTGAAGCATGACAGACCCTCAGACTCAAAAGATTAAGTCATTCGAAAGAAAAAAGAATATGACACTATTGAACCATTGCATTCTCGAAGCATAATTGTTGCATGCTCAAAGCATGACAGTCGCAGCATGGATACACGTCCCAGAAAGGACAATCCACGGACATGGAAATGTTGATGTCTCATGCATAAAGCATAATAGACATATAGGTTCCAATGACTCAACTCCCGGAAGTGGAGATTAAAATCCAAGCTCTATAACGCTCAAGAGGATGTTATGATCTGCATTTTCTAAACTATGACTATCCTGGAAGAGATAGTGTAATGTCATTGAAAAGGCAATGGATATCCAAAGAAATAAAAAGCCTTTCTGCATGCGCATGCAATGAGAATATGGGATCATGAATTGATGATAACCAATGGTAATTTTGGTTTCTTTACAAGTAGCTACTAAATTCATTAATGAGCTATGTTGATATTGAGTCTCGTTCTTTTTTTTTTCATCGATGAAAGGAAAAATTATTGGCAAAAGATGGAGAAAGGAAATTCCATTACAATTTATTAAGAACGTGGAAAAATATGTAGTACAAATCGTCAAATGATGTTGAATCCAGAAGGTTACATATGAGCATTTGTAATGCAGTAAAATACACCAACATGATATGACACAAGATTACTAATTGAAACCTGAAATTATACTCCCATAAACGAGTTCATATGAATGGAGAATTACATACGAAAGGTTTGTGAGTCGTCTACATCATATATTCATAAGTAAATCCTTCAAGTATACATGAGAGCAAATTGCTTTATATAAATTCTAAAAGGGTAATGTGTCATGAAGTGTAGAAAATCCATGAAGGATTCAAATGGCTTAAAGTAAGCCCTCGAAGGATAAAACATAAATTATGTACTCAATACCAATGGATGATATAAATTGCCTTAGTAAGTACTATTATTATGATATTGTTGCAACATACTAAAATCTCTTGCAAGAGTTAATGATATTAGATTAGGACTCCTAAAGAGTCTAGAAAGATTATAAGGTGTTGAAAGGAATATTGTCACGAGCTGTAGATCGAACAATGTGCCAACACGAATCGTATCCATGATGTTTATGATATTAAATGATCATATGGATTGAAGATCATGAGTTGGACACTCAAATAATTAACCAATATTTAGACACAAAGAATGATCATTTATATTCGTGAGGGAAAAGATGAATTGATATTTGATCCAGAAGTACCGTATCTTAGTGAAGTATATGCTTTATTGTATTTAGCACAATATACTGAATGAAATAAAGTTTATTTATTGATATCTCCAAGAAATTATAAACATGTGTACACACATGAGTTAAAACAATCAAACAAGAATGAGCTTTCACAAAAGTTGCTCATGTGAAGCCTCAATGTTTGGCAGAACCCTAGAAGGGGGAGACATTGGAGATTGATCATGTGACGCCTCAGTACTTGGCGAAACTCCAGAAAGAAGAAGCACCAGGGTTGATTATTTGGAGCCTCAATACTTGGAAGAACTCCAAACGGTGGGGGCAGTGAGTGCCTTTGTAATAGAGCCATAAACATCTGATGGTTACTTTGAATCCGACTATCGGATTCCTACAGTTGGTTAAGCTTTCTTTTCATACTCATTAAGTAATTATTTACAAGCATGTGCAACTCTCTATTTTCGTGCTTGAGCCCTCTAATTTCTTGTCTAAAACTTGCCACCTTAGTCATCAATGATTCAACTTGGCGAGTTCGAGTAAGTACACTTGGCCCATGTTGGATACAGAACTAGCACATTGAACGCTAAAAGTCAAAGAGTCTTGAATAGCCAATTCATCGGACCATTTTGAAAGTATCATTCTATCCTTGGGAGTAAGAAGATTCTTAGCTACTACTGTAGCGATTATGTCATTCTTCATCAAAGAGTCCTCAACCGTAAGAGAACCATTAGCAGATAAGAAGAATGAGTGTCATATATTGTCTTGAGGAGACATATCTGCATTTTCTACAACATTCAAATTGAAACGATGGTCAGGGAAAGCTATTTTGAGAAATGATGAAGGAAAATGAGGTCAGATAAATTGAAATATCAAAAATATAAAAAGGAAAATTATCTACTAGCAGCGACTTTCTGAGTGTGTTTTTGAACATAATTGATGCCTTTATAAAAGA